ACTTTATTCTCCTTCTCCAACACCAAGCAAAGAAGCAAAAGGCACGCAGGCCTTTTATAGGGCTTGAAACCCGGACAGAGTGAACCAATAGGAATTCCTCTTCTTCCCGCCTTGCGCATGCACACAAGGCTGGCGCCGCTTTGTCTGGTCCCAGCTTTTAGAATGCCCGGGACCATTTGCAACATTTCTGGGCCTGCTGAATTTCCTCATCAGGCCCAGGACACAACAAGGAGGAATAACTTTTTTTCCTAGACAAGGCTGTTTTCTCTCAGGAGACATCTGTGCAATGGTGGGATCCAGCCAGTTCGCACCACTTTGGCAGAACCAGTAGCTAATTTTTTGTTGCCCAGGCCCAGAATGGACTTCCAGAAGTGGCATCCACACAAAGAACCGGTTGTTCACATATTTGAATCCCACCCCTGCATCTGTGGGGTAATGATGGGCAGACCTGAGGCAGGAAGGGGTGGAAGGCAAAGTCAAAAGTGAGTTGAGATGTTATTGCATTCAATTCTAGTATCACTTGTCTTGACTGATTGCAAGAGCTTCTGAAATTAGGCCAGGGAGTACATAAAATTAGGCTGACAGTCACACGTGGACTAAGAATAGGCTATCTAGTGGTTTCACTCATTGGCTTAATGGTAGGTTGCAGTGTTTCTGAATGGCACATAAAGTCGTGGGCCAGCTTTCACCACCCAGCAGCTTTTTGGCTGTGTTAAATCTAATTTTCCATTACCCACAATAAGTGCACAGCTTTTCACATTTCCTGTGATTAATCTGCTGGGAGTTGACATTCAACATCTAGAGAACCAAAGATTCCCACTTTTGAAACTAAATGTGTGGACTGGGCCTATAATGGAAGATAGGACCTCCTGTCCTGTCCTCCTGTAACCTTCTTGTCCAGCCCTTGGTGATTCAAGGCCCATGAGCACACTTCTCCCAAATGAAAAGTTTATCCCTTCAGCTCCATGAAATAGATTTACTCAAGACACTTAGCATGACAGAGTATGAAGTTGGAGAGCAATCTGATCACCAATCCCGAGCAATCTTATCACCAATCCCGAGCAATCTTTCTTAGCCATGAACAGCTGACTGACAGGCATTCATATGGGTAAAGTTCCCAGCTCAAAACTGCTTCTGTTCACTTCCTGGGACCTCACATCATGGAAACTGCCTTTCCAAGACAGTTTTGCTATCTATTAAGTAGCATGAGAAGGTACCTGATGGGATGACATTTTGGATCATACCACTTTGGACCCCACTAATATTTTAATTTTGTTCTCCACCCTGCTTACCCCTTTGATAGTGAGGCAGGGTATAAATCAATTATACAAATCAAATAAATTTTAAAAGATGTACCGTGCTATTTCCTAGAAGAAGAAGAAAAGAGAAATGAAATAGAGGCTGGAAATGCAGTACTCCATGTAAGCAATTTTGTCTTGCTTGTGAAAAAAGAAAGGAAGGCTGACATTTATTTTTTTTTTAAACTATTTATATGTTTTGATCCTATCCTGCTCTCCATGGACACTTGATACAATTGCTATCTCAAAAGGTTATTTTCTATATTGCTCAGTGCTGATAACAAACTTGCTACTAAAACAATATATTTAAGAAAATGCTTAGGAAGGACAACCATTGTAGAAAATGGTGACCTATAATCTCATTTTTCTTGACTATAATTACCAATGAATTTAGAGGAGGTCTGTTTTAAGAGAACGTTGAAGGGATTTGGCATTAAAACCTGTGGCTTTAAATATTAAATAATCATATTTATCATCATCATAGTGTATTCACCCAGTGAATGTCACAGTATATTACTGGGCATTTTCTCATTATTTGTGTTTTAATCAGGAACCAAGAGTTCATGGAGGTATCACTGTAATATTTGGAGGGGGTTTTGTGCAAAGTCAGTAAAACTTTAAAATATTTGGGGAATCACTTCAGTATGGCTCTCTGAGCTATAGTTATAGTTGACTTCCCCCCCCCCCCAAATTCTTTCAACTTCAATTTGCAAATCCCTATTAGTACTACTCAGTGCTTTTTTTTTTAAAAAAAAAAAAAAAAAAAAAAAGGTGCTGGAACTCACATACAGCTCTGGCTCCAGTCGAAAGCCCTTTACAAAGAATGTAAGTCCCCCTAATACAAGTAGTCCTTGACTTACACCATTTGTTTAGCGACCATTTGAAGTTACAACATCCCTACAATTATTGCTTGGTAACCAGCATGTGTTTACAATGGTTGCAGCATCCCAAGGACATTTGATTGCCATTTACAACCTTCCCAGCCAGCGTCCGACAAGCAAAGTCAGTGGGGAAACCCGGATTAACAACCAGATGATTCATTTAACAATGATATAATTCACTTAACAACCATGGCAAAAAAAAAATAACATTGTTAACTCACTTAACCACCACTTTTCTGGTCCCAGCTGTGATTGTATAAAGAGCCCTGGTGGCACAGTGGTTAGAATGCAGTATTGCAGGCTAAACTCTGCCCACAGCCTGGAATTCGATCCTGACAGGCTCAAGGTTGACTGAGCCTTCCATCCTTCCGAGGCGGGTAAAATGAGGACCCAGATTGTTGGGGGGCAATAGGCTGACTCTGTAAACTGCTTAGAGAGGGCTGTAAAGCACTATGAAGCGGTGTATAAGTCTAAGTGCTATTGCTGTTGTTATTGTAAGTCAAGGACTGCATATTTATACTCAACAGAGATAGAAAAGGATATCTGAGGAAGACTCCCACTCTATTGGGGATGACTCCAACCATTGTCCCTCTGCCAATGAAAGGTTTCTGTAAGTGAAACATGGAAGCAGGGAATTTCAGCAACCCTCTTCTCTATATAGCTCAGAATGTGACCTGTTTTGGACAGTTAAGTTTCTTTCTGGAGAAAGGAGGATATGGAAGATAAAGGGTTTTGGGGGTGGGGACTGACTCATTTGAATGGCAGGAGCCTTGCATCAAAAGAAAGTCTAGGCACAGAGTGTCACATTCTTGCTATCTGCAGTCTACTCTTGGCAAAAGTCAAAGCAAAAAAACATAGAAGGCCTTTTGTGATTTCTATGTCTTTTATCTCTTAGTCAGGGAGCCATGTTACAATTTTAGCTGTGCTGCAAGTATAAGCAATATTGCCCAATACAGATAATCCTGTCTTAGCCCCATCCAAGAAAAGCAACTTAATAATGTGGAAAATCACCAGATCATTAAGGCTCAAAGATGTTGACATGTCTGTGAACTTAAACAGCAGAGAAATAATTGGGAGCGGATGACCTGAACATAACAGAAATAAGTGTAGAAAACGAAATCTTCTACATTTAATAATCAATAGCGTGCAGCAGTCTGAGAAGAGATATATACTTTGGCGCAGCCTTTTTCAACTTTGGCCCCTTTTAGTCGTGTTGGGACAGGGATAGATGGCTGTGCTAAGGCTCAAACTTTTACTCTCCCTCCATCTCCTGGGGGAAAAAAATGAAATACAGTAAGGCAGGGATGATATATGGCTCTGAGGGGTCCTTGGTGCTCTCTGAGCTTGTTTTCTTGCTGGCTTTTCATTACCCAAACTAGGTAACATCATCAGTGCTAGATATCTGGCTCTACATACTGATTTTATTGGCTTCCTTGTATTAGGAAGTAGTCTGTAAATGCAGTTCAAAGAGTATGAACAGAATCTTAGAGACAAGATATGAAATCCCACTGAAGTTCTGTTTGTTTTGTCTGAAGCCATTTCCCCTTTTGAAAGACACCCCCGTTTCTTTGGCAGAGAGAATCTGATTCTGTAGCAGATTGATTTTCAAGCTTCAGGCAGTTACATCTTCCACACCGATTCCCTCTTTAGATGCCAGTGTTGCAAGTCAGGTGTCGTATAGATTTGCTCAATAAATAAAATAAATTCTCAAACATGAATATGTAGCATTACTAATGTCTTCTTGATATTTGCTCAGTGAATACTTCAACCACTTTCGTCTTTCCTATTGTTTTAATACTGCTTTCATTTAACTGAAGGTCTCCAAATATATGAATTGCAGCTCCCATATTGTCAAGCATGGTCATTTGGGTGTGATGGGAGTTTAGTCCAAACATATTGAATAAATTTGCCAGGCAAGGTGGAGAAAAAAACAAACACCATGAATTAGCAGTTTCCAAGAAAATACCATTGCAATTAATCGAGACTACATTTCTAATGAATTAATTCAATGCGTTACTAAAGGTGCCTACACTGAGGGTTTGATAACATGGGAATGTCTTTCAGTTGAACCCTTTCAAGATTCAGTAGTTCAATCAATGTCTCAAGGTTTTATTTGGCTGATAGCTCTAGTTACTGTTTTATGAATTGCTATTAAAGTTTGGAGCTGATGTGTGCAAATTCATTCCCCTAAGATTGTGGGCTCATTCTTGAAATAGATAGCCTATATTTAAAGTTCATGTATCCTTGGTCTTTCAGTGTATGAAATTATTAGATCTGAAGCATTTTTAGGGGTGATCATTAAAGCTGAAGATATTGTAAGTTGAAGAACAGTAGCAACAACAAATGTAGATTAATGTCTTGTATTTTAACATGGTGGACAGTTCACCGAAGGAGTGTGACTTTTGGAACTTTGGATCCAGGTCGTATGTCCCCTTTTTTGGTTTGGTTGCTAAACAACCAGTCATAAATGGAGAACTACCTGTATGGCAAATTCTTTTTATTATAGGTCGTTAGACCTTTATACTTGGCTCCTGAGGGAAAGTTCCCCATCCTATCTGATTTTTTTTAAAAAAGCAAATGTAATCTTAGTTCCACTTACTAATTACACAGTCTTCCTCATTCCATGATTTTAAGTCCCAGAATTTATAGTATTTATATTGTATTGGGGAATCTGAGATTTTCAAGCCAACTCTTCCAAGGATACCGAATTGGGGAAGTCTTTTTTAATGGATGAAAATTTAAGCATTTTGTTGTGGCTGTGTTGAATAATCCAGTATTAAAAATACTAACACTTGTTTACATATTTAACAATTCATGCTAGATTTCCCTATGGATTCTAATAATGGGAACTGTAGAGGCACCAATGCCGGTGAGTACATTTTTATCTAATACCTTGTTTTTGCCTTTTATTCTTTTTCTTGTTGTTTTGTTGAGCTCAGGCCTCAACAGAATAGAAGCAGCATAATAGTGCCCGGATTGTTTTGTGAAGATTTGTAACGAAAGACCATGCTCGTTGGGAATTCTGGGAGTTATAGTCCCAACACACTGGGAAGGAGCCAGGTTGTTTCAGGCTATTGTAAAAATTACAGCAGAAACTGGATTCCATGTGAAGCACTTCACATTCCCTAAAATAACATGGAAATTTTCATCATTATGCTTTGTTTATGTATTTAATACCCTATTAAAAGGGGGACTGTGGGATAATGTTCAAAGAAAAGCTTTGGACCTGAACTATTCTGACAAACATTGCAAATGTTCCATAGTGTATTTTTGCTGGTGAACAATGTCTTTAGGCAATATCTAATCAAGTAATCCCTGACAAAGAGAATTGGCAAGTTCTTTTGTATAAATAATTATCCGTTCTTTCTGAGCTAGGAATAACACTTTTGTCCTTTTCACAAAATGTGTGTTTGTGTTTCAAAAAACTTAAAACGTTTCTCCCAACTTTTTTTTTTATTTTAAAAATATAATGCCTTTGCTGTAGTTTTCAGTTATTGCATACTAAAAGACATAAACTATGCTGATAAAAAATAATATTCTTAAAAGTTGCATTTGCAATGTCCATTGTTTCTCTAGCTCTAGTTCCTTAAGTCTTAAAAAGTGCAACTAATTTTCCCTTGCTCTTCCTTATGCCTCTCACCCGTCAATCCCTAGGATATCTAGGACTCATCTTTTCCATCAAAGCTATAGACAACCTCACTTTTGGAGAGTTACACATGAAACTTAAAAAAAACCCCACTTTTGATGAGATATCACATCCAATTTGGAAAAATAGTGGATCCTTTTCTACACATTATTCTAATTCTTTGGCCCATAGCCATTCATTTTTAATTGCTTATCACATCCTTTACAATACTTTTTTGGTCACACTGTTCTCCCAGCGGGCTTCCAAATTATCAAATGCCAGCTTTAAAATATTTTTCTACTAATGGCCAAGAAGGGAAGTACCTAGGACAGTGCTGGCGAACTTATGGCATGAGTGCCAGAAGCGGCACTCGGAGCCCTCTTTGTGGGCACACATGCCGTCGCCCCAGTCCCGCCTCCCCCTGCAGCCCCCTCATCAGCAGCCCCCCCAGAGGAGAGTCACCCCAGGTGCGGCCCGGGCAGAGCAGCGCAGCCAAACACATGACAGCTGGGCAGCAGATGTTGCGGGGCGCGGGTGGAGGGCGTGGCCACCACAGTGCTGCAGAGCCGCATGGGCAATATGCGGTGGGCCATGGATGGCCCTGAGAGCAGACAGGGTGACTGTGGAGCAGGGCGGGGGTGGGTGGGCGGAGCGGGGGCAGGCTGGGGGTGGGGTGATTTTTGGGCACTCGGTCTCTAAAAGGTTCGCCATCACTGACCTAGGATATTGCTGGAGATGGCATGCTACACAGGATTACCACTATTTTGTAGTCCACCCATTTCCCCCACCCCTATTTTGTGGGAGGGGGGGCAAGATTCAGATTAGCTTTTCTCTAGATGACCTACCCAGCACTGTATTGTATCAGATCAGGCATTTTCAAAACCCAGCATTTTGAGTTGGACCAGGAAGTCTAGGGGCAACCAATGCAATGACTGAAGAATTGGGGTGCTCCTGCAGTGGTAGCTTAAGAAAACATAGCCAATTTAAGGTAGAATTCCACTGAAGGTGCAAAATGTTCTGAATATAAAATGTTCTTGAGCTCAAAGCAGCTTATTCCAATTGTATTGCAAGCATCTGTTGATATTCTGATTATCCTGCAAGTCTTTTGAGCTCGGAATACTTCAAGTAATGTTGCTTTCCATTCAAAATGGGGTATTTTGAACTTAAAATGTTTTGCACATTTCTCAGCTTTGAATCATGCAAATAGGTGTGAAAATCCGTAGTGCTGAGATACTTATGCTTTCTGGATTGTAGACACAAAGAGCCCTGTAGTGACTTTTTATTCCTGTTATTACTAAGAAGGCAAATAAGGTTTTCTTCCAGGTGAAAGCTAGATCAAGTTTTCTTACATTTCTCTGTTGGTATATTTCTTACCTTGACTGGCAAAGTCAAGAGCAAAAAGACAGGCAAGACATGTAAAAACATATGACATTGTCTTGGAAGTATGTATGTATGTCTATTACAGTGTTTTCTGTATTTTCTATTCAATGATATATAAATGATCAGGCAGCAAACGAACAATTTAACTAAGCAATATGACAGAGTCCATAAGCTTGTAGTGTAATATCTTGCCTTATCAGAACAGAAGGAATCATTGTTGAAAAATGTATATTTTAAGAAAAAAAATCACTAATGCAGATTAATGGGATGGCTGGGACTGATACGGAAGTTTGCCTCTAAATATCAGCTGTAGCTAAGTATGTGGGTGAGGATCTGCCCTGAATTTCCAGGCACACCTTGAGTTACAACAGTAATTGGGACCAGAATATCCATCACTAAGTAATGCAGTCATGTCCCATGACTGCTTTACCTCACAACAACAGTCCAGCTACTACTATTTGCTGTTGTTAACTGAATCCCACCATGTTGTCAGGCAAGGGCCTACCCCAGGGGTAGGCAACCTTGGCTCTTTTATGACTCGTGGACTTCAACTTCCAGAATTCCTGATCCAGCTCAGGAATTCTGGGAGTTGAAGTCCACGAGTCATAAAAGAGCCAAGGTTACCTATCCCTGGCCTACCCAATCCAAACCATTCCGAAACTCACCCAATCCATCGCAAGAAGTCCATGGGCAATTTGGATAAAGGTGTGGGGTGGCCTCAGGAAGAAGGCCTGGTGTGACTAGCAGTGCCTTGGAGAGGATTAAATCAGGTGCAATTCATCAGCAGGAGGAGGAAGAAAACAGCAAAAGTAAACTGGGGGTAGCAGGGCCAGTGGAGTGCAAAGAGGCAGAAAGCAGGGAAGCCAAGAGATGGATGAGAGATAAGTGGCGAGGGGAGGAGAGGAATTGAAGAGCCCCAGTGATTAATTGTTATACTTATAATTCTATTATAAGTATTATCAGTACTGCTTATATAAGCTGCTAAGTGCCTGTATTTTGATCACATGACCACGGACTCTGCAGCGCCTATAATTTCCAGGATTGGGCATAACTACCATTTGTTCAGTGCAATCAAGTTCCGTGTCAGCTTAACTTTGAACTGTTGCTGAACAAATGCTTGCTAAGTGAGGAGTACCAGTACTTCTGTCCGCTCACTTTGCTTTATTTTCCTTTCCCCCTTAGCCAAGAATTGGGAATGTTTGATCTTCCCAATGTTAAAGTTACCATCAGTCTGGAAGATGGGAAAGGGCGGAGTGGGAAAGATTTGCTTTGCTAGCAACCTGTTGAAAAAACAATGTGTCCTTGACATCAACCATTGACCTGCAGGCTGGCTGTATCCTAGAAGCATTCTACTCTTTGCTGTTGGTTTCTTATCAGGAGAGGAGAGTATTTGGATTTTTTTTTTTTGCCAGAATAGCAATAGCACTTAGACTTATATACCACCCCACAGTGCTTTACAGCCCTCTCTAAGCAGTTTACAGAGTCAGCCTATGGCCCCCACCAATCTGGGTCCTCATTTTACCGACCTCGGAAGGATGAAAGGCTGAGTCAACCTTGAACCTGGTGAGATTCGAACTGCCAAACTGCTGGCAGCCGGCAGTTAGCAGAAATAGCCTGCAGTACTGCATTCTAACCACTGCGCCACCATAAATGTACAGGTGCCCTCATTCAGTGTTTTCACCTACGGTACTATTTCAAGTCTCCTGCCTAATAGTGACCCAAGAGGAGAGATCTGACTGAAGGAAAGCACAAGGAGCATCAGGGACATGGAAACTTGACTTCTGCATTGTTCTGTTATTTAAGACACGGCTTTTCAACCAGTGGTACGGGTACCACCTGTGGTACATTGGCACCTGGCAGGTGGTACGCGACCATCCCAGAAAAGTGGTAGCGGGGGAGGGGAATGAGCTGAACCGGTGGCAGCACCGCACAAGCCTGAGTGAGAGACGGCTGGAGCTGCAGGGCTGTCAGGGCTCAGCGGAAGCGCCAGGATCAGCGCCAGGCTCCAGCTGGAGCTCAGCGCTGATCCTGGCACTTCTGCTGAGCCCAGAAGAAGCGCCGATCAGCTGGAATGTTGCAGCATCTCCAGGGTCTTGTGATTTACATTCAGATGCTTGGCAACTGATTCATATTTATGACGGTCCCAGTGTCCCAGTGTCATGTGAAGTGAGCAAAACCTGCTGCAACCATCCAGCAGATGGGGGGGGGGGGAATAAAAACCAAACACCCCCCACCCCACCCCCGCTGCCAATCCTCAACAGAAATGCTCACAACAATGAAAACCTCGGACAGGAGGAAGAGCGCCGCCGGGCGGGCAGGCAGGTGTCTTGCTCGGCTGTGGCTTGGGGGGCACTTTTTTCAGTGCCATTGTAACTTCAAACAGTCACTAAGCGAACTGTTGTAAGTTGAGGACTACCTGTAGTTTATCACTTTTTTCCTTTTTTTTTTTTTTGATCATCAAGTTTTTGACATCTTGCTAGGCGGCTGGTGGTACTCGGATATTGCCATATCCTAAAAGTGGTGCACTGGGTGAAAAGGTTGAAAAGCCCTGATTTAAGAGTCTCAAATACATTTTTCCCCCAGGGGAAGTAGTGTGTCTTTCACGCTAAATGAATGTTTCTTGACTTTTGGAAACATTGCATCCCACGGATCACTGTATCAAAGAAACTTGATCTATAAAGATAGCAAGAAAAGGTCATTGAAGTAGATTTGGATTTGCAGCAATGATTGTGTTGAGAAAAATCAGGGAGGAAAGATAGGCTGGTGGGATTTGTCATGTCTAGACTAGGAATCTTGGTGGTCTGCATTCCCCAATAGAAATCTTCTGCTCTGAATCAGTGTCCAAGACAAATCCTACTACTGTCTTGTTTTATAATCCTGAGAAAATAGTTGCAAACTTGAATGTTATGCTCTGTCTGGCTGTATGCAGAAAAAAAATACCTATAATGATTATAACATCTTTCTTTTGACAGTAAAATTTCTAATAAATCTGTAAGACACTGTATGTAAGCAATAAACTTATTTTTTCCCCCATCAACAAATGGGCTGAGTGAGACACAAACCAATTCTTACTGTCAACACAGATGTTTGTTTGTGATTATTGCCAAATCACATACCTTCCCTTTTTTTTTTTTGTTCTAATGTGGAGGGAAATTCTGTTTTCTAGAGCGCTGCAAATGCAAGCCTATAAAAGCTACCCAGAAGACCTACCTTCGGAACAATTACAACTATGGTAAGTATGGCATGAAGACAAGCAATAACCTTGGAGGAAGAGAAGATTAAACAAAAGCAGAAATGATTTCACAGAAAGGGGTTCTTGGGCAGCTACTTTAGCGAATTGCTATCTCCAAAGGCAAGCAAAACTCAAGTCAGTTGAGTTGGGGGCCAAAAATTGTCTGCTGAAAGTGACTTTTAAAGAGCTCAGGTTCCTCCCTCACCTGTTTCATGCTTAAAGTAACCATTTTAGGTAGTTTGGACTGCCAGAAAGCTTGACCAAGGTCAATTAACAAGTTCTGAAGCTTAATGGAATTTGAACCTGGCATTCCTACATTTTCGCATGAAACCTTCGAGAATAAGTAGCTTACTGGAGGGAACAAGATCAACCAAATGCATTTGGGAAATTTCAGAAGTATTAGATACAAATGCATTGATTTTACATGCATAATATGTACAAGCACTTCTTTAGAAAAGAAATAAAAAACAATATTGATTTCAAGAAGGCAGCTATTGTTATTCTTCAATCTATATAAATAAAAATGTAAATGTTCGTTTGTTCAAAATCTTAACTCTCCGAAAGTTCTTCACCAATTGCTTTGAAATTTTGACACAACGTTGCATTCGAATACGTGCGTGTTTCTATATATCTATATTATATAGATGTCACACCTGTGACAGGTAAAAACATGCTTTTTTTGAAAAACAGTGCCATCTGTTGGACGTAAAAGCAACACACGCTTTTACCAGACTGAGCCACAGCAACGCATGGCTGGGTACAGCCAATACTAATAATAAAGTGATAAGACTATCCTTTTCTTAAATTACCTTTTTGGTGCTAATGACAGTGCTTATTGTTTTAAGAAAATAATACTTTTACTATGTTTTCAATTATTAATTTACACCTTTGTTTTTAAAGAAACAAAACAAAATACTTTCTTTCCGGGGTTAAAAAGAACAAAACAAAATATTCTGGAAGATACATTAGCTGTCTTCATTTTAACCTCTGTTCTTCTTTTTCTTCAGTTATTCGGGCTAAAGTGAAGGAGGTAAAGACCAAATGTCATGATGTCACTGCAGTGGTCGAAGTGAAAGAAATTCTAAAATCTTCATTGGTGAACATTCCTAGGGATACAGTCAATTTATATACAAACTCTGGCTGTCTTTGCCCACCACTTAACGCTAATGAAGAATATATCATCATGGGCTATGAAGATGAGGAACGTTCTAGGTAATTATGGGCTCCTCCCTTTAATTAGTTCCGCCAGAACACAGTTAACTGAGTAAAATTATAAAACCTAAAGAGAAATTTTAAGTTGATTCTGGATCAAATATGATCAAAAACAAGCTATTTTATGGGTGATTAATATTTTGATTGAAAAAGATATTTTAAAAAGGAGAAAAGGAGAATAGCTGGAGAGAGAGAAAAAATCTGCATCTCCGATGAATAATTTTGAGGAAGTTAGTAAACAGAAGCACTTGTCTTGTTAATTTTTACTGTAGAGTAGATCTTTGTTTATATGTTTCTTCATTAAACAAATGAACATACTTCATGCCTCTCGGTTCCCTCACCTTCTTAATATTTTTATATAAATTAAAGTTTATCAAATATTTTTTAATGCTCCATCTTTATTTCCAAGAGTGTTTTTGGAGTTCATTGGCTTTCTTGCGAAATAAAAATGGTAGGTGATCAATATTCAGAGTTTTGTCAAATGCATTCCCAGTTGCCCAGAAAAATAATGCTTTGTATCTATAACTTGATTTTAAAATTCCCATCTATTCAACGTTGCCCAGAATTAAGGATGCCTAGCTTCTTTCATGGAGACATTTCTTGGAAGCATGTGTAATAAGAATTAGTAGTCTGGATTTAATAATAGAAAACAACACCTGAATTGTTGAAGAAGGTAATTGGCTCCAAGAACAACCTCTCAAATCTGATCAAATGGTTTTATTCAGCTAATGCAGACAGCTTGCATTTTGCAATAACCAAGCTTGCCAAAGTCTAGACCACAGTTCTGACTCACTCATTGGCTTGTTATAATCCATCTGTCTTGTTGGATGCTGGCCTCAGACAGTTCCTGAACCCTTCTTTTGTAGAGTTTGCAGCTCCTTGTTATCTTAAATGGTGAAGACTGTTAAACAGTTTCCTACCACTATAAAGAAATGTTAAAATAGGTATATCAGAGCAGCCCCCCCCCCAAAAAAAAGCAACCCTCACATTCTCCCCAAACTAGTCCTGTCCCTATGTGGTGCATTATCTCCCATTGTGCAGATCTCTTGTGGTCCTTGGTGATGAAAGGCTACCCAACCTAATCGATCAGTCATTTAATTTACAACCAATGGGTTGTAAATTATAGGTTTCATATAGGTTGCAGAGTAGGGGAATCATAGGTTCCCCTACTCTGCAACCTTCTGAAGTGTAACATATGCACTTCCAGTATTCTCAACTAGGATTTTTTTTTTCTGGTTGGAAATTCTTGAAGTTGCAGTTCTAGGAGGAGGGGACAAGTGCAATAAACTGTCAACAGATCTTGAGTAACAGACTCTGAAAAAATGAGATATTGGCTGGAACTCATGTTTCAGAATCAGACACTGTATGGATCTGGGCAAGTGAATCTCTGTGCCTGGCCCATTACATCAGATTTTGTTGTGAGGTTAATTTAATTTCAGATGCAAGACAGCAGTGTAATATTAATAAACATTAGCTGATTTTAAACATTTCATATCGTTTCCCTAGACTAAAATTGTGTCAGGCATGAAAAACCAGTTTCATATGTAAAGGTTCAAATTAACTGATTTGTTGCTAAAAGCCTATGTATAGGAATCTTCTCAACTAATGGTCAGCATCTGGATAGAACTAGATATGAGTCAAAGGCATTGGGGGGAGGAGGGGTTGGAGTTGGGTAGCTTGTGACTATGCAATGACTCTAAACTGAACCCTCTTTTAACTCCTCCCACTGGCTCTGCCCATCCTTCAAATTGTCACATTATATCAGTTCAAGGGCTATCTAATTACAAAAATCTACACCTCTGTCGTATATGTTTCTGCCTAATTTTATGCAAAAACAGTCTTGTGACACCTTAAATTTTGGCAGATTTATTATAATGTAAAGTTTGTTATGTTGTCATCACAAACTAAACAAAGCCACCTATGAAAATTGATTTATCTATTTCTAAGAATGTGTCTTAAATCTATCAAAGTCTATAACTGCAAAGAGTTGCATTTTTCCTGCATCTTTTAAAATTCAGGATAGTTAAGGAAAGATACAGCTGAACTACTGTAATATTACTTACTATTGGTACTCGTATACTTATATACAGTGGTGGGATTCAAATATGTGAACAACCGGTTCTCTGTGTGGATGCCACTTCCGGAAGTCCATTCTGGGCTTGGGCAACAAAAAATTAGCTACCGGTTCTGCTGAAATGGAGCGAACCGGCTGAATCTCATCGCTGCTTATATATCCATAGCTAACTTTCCTTCCATGAGTATAGATTGTATTAACAAACATTTCTACAAATGGGAAAAGTAGACTGTTGCTATAGAACTTAAGGGGAAATTGCAGTGGTCATTAATAGATCTGCATTTGCTCCTTCAACATAAAGCTTCCTCTTTCTTCTTAAGCTGAGCTATTTTGCCTTTCATATATAATCATTGTTGTTCTTTTTCCTTCAAATGCAAAGACTACTCTTAGTGGAAGGCTCCATAGCTGAGAAATGGAAGGATCGTCTCGGTAAAAAAGTGAAGGTAAGACAAATTTAATTAACTGCTTAATCACACATTTGACTTGATTATATGTTGCTATATTTTTGCCTTATTTCTAAACAAGCAGCCACATTCTGTTTGTTTACTCAAAAACATTCAGTTAGGCTTCCCTCTTCAGCATGCTTAAGTGAGAATACAGCCTTGGCCATCTCCTTTCTCCACAGAGATATATATATTTTTCCCCTATACAATACTGAATCCCCTTCTCATTATACCAAGTATCTCCCATGCCAAAACAAATTCCAAAATCTGTAAGTGAATACAAAAACAAGGCAATTCAAACTAGAGGTGAAGAATCACACTATAGACAATGGTGTTAAAATATTAAACTATTAGAAATATTAAACATTAAGCACAAATAATTATGTTTCATGATTACATTTTAGGACAGCACTTTGGGAACAGGGTTGCTCTCCTTTAGGATTCTTTTCAACACAACTCTTTAGAGGTAGTCCTCAAGTTAATGACCACAAATGAGTGATCTTAATACCAGTATTTAATATCGCCAGTACTTCGTTCCGTAGGTACGTTAGGACTGAAAGGGGTAACACCCACGATACATCTCGTACCCCACAGAGTCTTCCACCCCCTTCCGGGACGCAACGACTTGTTTACCCGAATCACTACACGGGGTACACTTCTACCTGTCCTTTTTGTACTTCTTCATACATACTACTGCAATGAATACAATGTTTGCTTGAATGGAATGTCAGTGACAGAACGTGCAGTGGTAAGTGCTGGAGTAATGAAGCAATAGTAACAAGACACCCTCCAGATCCTTTTAAAGAATTACAGAATGCATAGGGGGAAAAAAGTCAAAAGACAATTGCAGTTGACACCAGTTACTGAATACTGATGATACCACCCATGATATAAACCAGGCATGTCAAACCTGCAACATCACATGACTTTTTCCTCATTGCCAGCAATGTGGAGGGCGTGGTTTTAGTATGATGCATCCGGCCCATGGGCCGGCAGTTTGACATGCCTGATGTAAACCATTCATTTTGCACTATTGGCCACAAAGTGGAAGGTATTGTTGAAGAACTATGGGTCATGTTGATGTCTAAAAAAAGATGCTAGTTTAAGGTATATTATAGAGTGGTACCAGTGGGATGAAATGTTGATAATTTCAGAGTAATAATTATATTTTGATCCAGAACAGCGTTGTTTTGTTATGTAAAAAAATGGAAACTATTTCCAGCTTCTTGGTTTCACAGAGAGCTTTGCGGTTGAAGGTGGAGCAGGAAGCTATGCTCTGTTGTGCTCTTGGATTATTATTTTTTTCAGAGGCGAAATGACTGATATTTGCTATAGCCTCATATAGCCTAATTGTTCCCAGAAGGCAGTTCACTCAGAGTTCTCTCTATCCTGCTAAAAGCACTAGTTACTAAGTTGTTAAAGAGAACGGTTCCACAAAAATATCCACTGATTGTAAACTTCCTTCTGCAATGGCATCAACCCAATTCAAGCTTTTCAAAATAGTTAAGTGTCAGAAAAGAAAGCAATGCCCCTGACACAGTTTGCTTATCCCTCTGTTGAGAATTGGCCATATCTACAGGCTGAGGAGATCTTGTCAGCACTGCTGCTAAGGCTTCCTTTGTCTTTACTCCTCCTCTTCTTCTTTTTAAAAAAAAAAAAAACTGCTGCCAAAACACAAAACAATAGTCCACTCAATCCATCTCGACGGGGGTTAAGAGGGTATTAAGTCTGAAACTTTTAAGTACATGTCTCAGGAGACACCATAAGAGAACATGCTGAGCTTTGAACGTGCTCCTGCTCTTTCTGGGTTTGTGGAAGGTTATTTTGAATCCAGGAAAATCCTTTTAAATTGCTTGGCAATGTGGGAAGGACAATGGTGCAAGCTCTTTCTTTTGAGCTTTGTGTCTGACGTTATGTCCAGAGATTCACTTTGCATAACAGTATTTAAAATCTGATCTGCTATGCAACATAGATTATTTCTTATTCTCACTGCTCAAAGAAGGAAACGTTACAGTCCACTTTCCCACGTTCCTTTATCGATATTTGAACATATAGCCATCGTGTTCATTTCAACATATAGCCTTCAGATACATAAACTGGTGACCAGCATCAATTTAGTACAACTCTCTTACTGGGGTGCTTTCTAAGCAGAAAATATGGTTGATATTTTTCTGAAAAACTCTTGTCATTGTGGACTTATTGTTCATGATATGAAATGTTGTCATTCTTGTAACAATAACACACTTTTTAATACTTAGTGGTCATATTTGTGTATGGTAGCAAAAGACATAAAGCAACAGAAATGCATTAGAACAGGGATGGGGAACAATGGCTCTTTTATGACTTGTAGACTTCAACTCCCAGAATTCCTGAGCCAGCCATGCTGTCTCAGGAATTCTGGGAGTTGAAGTCCACAGGTCATAAATGTGTCATTGTTCCCCATCTCTGTCTTACACAGAAGTCATCTGTAAGGGACAGTTAAATATCTTTTCCTAAAAATAGCATCCGTAAGTAAAAAAAAAAAAGGTTTTGAAAAATTATTTTGACATGTCATATACAATTTGTTAAAAAAATAGGCAGCAGAAAGTTCAAACCTTTGTTTCAATTGATTATTTGATAAGAGTTAACTTTCCATTTGCAGTCTGTGTTTAATAGTATTTATCACTTTCTAGGTCAAAGTGGCCTGGAAACATAACATATTACTCACACTATTTGGTTTTCTCTGTGACCCCCCCCCCAAAAAAATATTGCATTTTCTTCTTCCTAAATATTTAACTCCCAACATTAAAACTGCTTAACAAATTAAAACTCTCAGTTATGAATGAAGTCCTCCAAATTTTTCCATTTACTAACAGATTTATACAAAAGTGTGTGCAATGGCACCCAAATGGGCTGAGGTAGCTTTGAGGCTCTTTGATTAAAAAGTTAAAAGCAAATACCGTCGAATGGAAAAACAGTAAAATACTATAGGTGAGAAAGTGGCAGTTTTTTAGGTGGATGGAAGCTAGTGTTACTAAACTGACAGTTACTTATGATTTTGTTACCTCATGATTGTTGTTGTTAATTGCGAAGTCGTGTCTGACCCATCGCGACCCCATGGACAACGTTCCTCCAGGTCTTCCTGTCCTCTACCATCTCCTGGAGTCCATTTAAGTTCACGCCTACTGCTTCAGTGACTCCATCCAGCCACCTCATTCTCTGTCGTCCCCTTCTTCTATTGCCCTCGATCTTTCCCAGCATTAGGCCCTTCTCCAGTGAGTCCTTCCTTCTCATTAGGTGGCCAAAGTATTTGAGTTTCAACTTCAGGATCTGTTAGATGACTGCAAGGGGCTCTGCATGGGCTGCTTGAAGATGCTTTGGAAGCTCAGCACAGACAGTAACAAATGCTTCTGGTTATGCCCATGTGCCATGACTTCTAAGTCAGTGGTCTCTAACCTTTGTGGACTGGTAGTGGTGGCGGGGGGGGGGAGTAGAGAGGATAGTTCCATGCAAGCAGCAGGTGTGCGTGTGCACCGCTCACACAAATGGAGCTTTACATGCACGTGTTTGCCTGCCACTCATGCAAGTGGAGCTGCTCACTCCCCCGCTACATGTGCAGGCCAGTTCCGAATGTGCTGTGGTCCATTAGGGGTTGCAGTCCAGGGGTTGAGGACCCCTGTAGATTCACTCAATACAACCGATAGGACAACCGAAGGTCCAAATTAAAATCTACGACCAGTAGTGGATACCTTGGAAAGTACCGTATCCCGAATCAGATCAACAAAAAACGGGTAAACTACGGAAGTCAGTTTCACCCTCGAGAAATTCTGGTCAGTTAATTTCCAATAGTAGAATACCTTAACTCCTTAGTACGGAAGAGTATTGCAGCCCCTGCTCTCTGGAGCAGCATTCCTCCCTCCCCCTGAAAGATACACAGTTCCCATTTTCCTTGGTTTCCTGGAGACCTGGTTGTGTTCCAAATCCTGAGGTTACGGGTGTCTGCAGAGCCCCTGTTGAATTTTTGCAGGTTACAAATTGTTATTTTGGTCTGTGCAATTATATGGTTTTTTACTGTGCATTGCACTTATTGTAAACAGTTCAGAGTCCTCTTGCAGCCTTGACAAACCCAGTAAATCAAAAAATAAAATAATTGATCTCTCTCTGTGTCTCTCCCCTCTTCTGCTTAATAAATCTGCTGTTGATATTAATATTTACCTAAAACGAATCTAATATTCCACCCTCAGAGAATCTGTGCATGCAACATCCTTTTTACGTGTGTACATATAGGCATATGCAATTGTATTCCTATCAGAAGCCATACTTCAAAAAAGGAGAGGACCAAGACCAAAAAACTAAATGTATAACTATTTATAAGTACTTATTAAAATTAATTACCTATAATATAAAGCACTCCATTAATAAAACTAATTGATTCCACTTTTTACAGTAGCACATAAGTATATACTCTCTCTAGCAGAAATCACAAAAAAGAAGCAGGTAATAATATCATAGAGGGAACTATCTGCTATTATCGTAAGTGGATATTGGGAAAAATGGACATAGAAAAAAAAGTGAAAGAAATTTGAATGAAATAAATAAAAAGAAAATATATTTTGTTTGAAAATTATTAGAAGGTAGATTAATCTTCCAGTAAAATGAATAAAATATGGACATGTCAAGGGGATTGTTTGAGAACTGTTTGGAAGTAAGTGAAAAGAATTATGCTTCAGTCTGCTACTAAAGTGTATGTAATTGTGGTAGTGGGACGTTGGGACGTATGAAAATGGAAACTTGGTGGAATGAGGAAAGAGGCTATGGATGAGAATTTAAGAGAAAGTCAGCTGCAAAAATTAGGATAATGGTAATATACTGTATAATGTAAATGTAGAGAAAAAGAATGTTGTTGAAGAAAGACAGTGTCAATGTGTCCTCCTTAATTTCTTAATCTCATTACACATGGACAGACTTAATCATAGCTTCAACTGTAAAAGTGTGAGCATCTTAGACCAAGCTAAATCCAAAACTAGTAGGGACTTTCCAGGAAGGTTGGCACTCAAACAAATAAGCCAACATGATGTTTTTTTTAAAGATAAACCACATTTACCCTCTATTCAAAAGAGATAATAAAAAAATCTAAAAAGGAAACAAAAAGCTAAGAACGTCTCCTCTCCAGCAATCAACACCCAGATAAGCAGGGATTAACACCAGGAGCAACACCACACAAACAAGCAGTGAACAATACCCTAATCAAGGAACTTCCAACTCAGACTATCAATCAAGCAGTAAACAATACCCTAACCAAGGAACCTACCAAGGAAAACAACAACAATCCGACCAACACTTGTAGGGCAAACCCCACTGAAGATGTTACCTAGCTGGGTAATGAAATCTCTGCAAGCAACCAAGCAAGCAAACTCAGAGAGCACTTAGGACTCCACAATTCAACCATGAGCTACATATATTCTCTTCTATTGACACATGAAAAAGTTAGGATCAAAAGGGGCAGAGGAAATGCAGAGCATTTTAAAAAAATGCTTTGATCATGAATAACAAAAGCTAAAACAAGGAGCATCCAGCAGATACAGAACAGAATGAAAATAAAAGTGAAGACTTAGAAGGGAACTGAAATGGAATAATGCTAGAAAGAATTTTTTAGGGATATATATGGAACAATTGCAGTGTTCCTTCAACAGCAGTGAAACTTGAGAAGTGTTAAAATATAGAAGTGGTTTGCTCACGCAGTAGCTATGTGAGTTGTTGACCTGATAAACAGAAAGAAGATAATATTGTTCTTCCACAGCAAGGAAAACTTGACAAGGATTAGAAGAGAAGCTAGTTCAGTCCCTTGTCTGGTTCAGGAGATGGCTACCAACCCTTTATTAAAATACAAGTAAAATAGCCTTCTTTCCAAGCTATTGCTAAATAGCTCCAACTGTTAGGAGATCCTAATGTCCCAAAGAAATCTAGTGTTTCATCATTTAAACCCATTGTTTCTAATTTTGTCTTCTGGAACATTTCTATATGACAGCTCTTTTGAATCTGAAAGAAAACTATTATGTCTCTCTACAGTTCTCCAAGCAGACCATACCCAACGCTTCCTGTTCCTCTTAGGTTTTTCTTTCCAGGAATCTTAAAACCCCGGTTGTTCAGCTCTGGATATACTACCATTTCTCAGTGTCCTTCCTACAATCCAGTGGTGGTGTATGCTATCATGTAAACCAGAAAAGGGCCATGAATAAATGTAGGCTGAATTCAAAAGTAAGCCACAAGCATGAAAAGCATATTGTACATTGAGGTGGTTTGGTCATATAAAGAGAATGAATGAGAACTGAATCATAAAACAAATATATGAAGGAAGAGTGAATGAACTGAAAGAAAGAAACTGACTTGTCAATGAGAGAAGGGGGTGAGAAGTTTGAAGTATATGGCACTGAAGGCAGTGTGGAACCAAGCGGTTTGCAAAGGTAGAAAAGTATGGAGAGTGGTGTTTGTATCAATTAGATTTTGCTCTATATTTCTTTTTTTTAATCTCATACATTTAATTCCTTATTATTTATTACTCTTTTCTGCACTTTTCAGAACATTATTCTGCAAATTTTTATTCAAGAAAGAATTGATTATGGCTAAAAAAAAATAGCCAATGGGCTGAGAAAGGAAATTGTCCTCCCAGTGCTATTGATTATCTTGCAAGTTTTAGGATGTTATTTCTAATTTATTGAAGATCTTTAAAAAGGATACCTGCATTCTTCTCGTGCTATTTATTTGAGTTTGGGACATTTATATTTTGACATCTGAAATTCCGGGAGGAAGCAGAACAGATGAAGGGAACATATATAGAAATGGGTGCTGGATGACTGAAGAATAAGAGGATTACATTGGTTGTCCTTCATCCTTGTCATTTCCTGTCCAATTGTTATATTCACTTTAGGTCAGTGGAGATTCGTGTTTGTATTTGTGTCTCTGCTTGTTTTCATTTCCCCCCAGTTTGCCCCCAGTTGATTTCATTTAGTTTTTATTTGAAAAATAAATTCACTGCAAGGCACTTTTCAGCCCGTGTCATCTTATGTTCGCTAATTCATTTCTATCAACAAGATCTCTAACATTAAAGTAAGAAGTTTTTAACAGAGTTTCCCCAAGTTGGATTATTAAAATAAAGTAGCTATCAGTACTGAATGATCCGGCCCAGGTATCTACCAATTAGTGCTTTCCAGATGTTTAGACTTCCCCTTCTATAATCTCACAGCCAAGTTGAGGGTACCAGAAGTGAAGACTGCTACCTCTGAAAGAAATTCTTTTGCTCCTTTCTCTTGAGTGCCACAAATGTTGAACTGCAACTCCAGCAAAGAAGGTAGATAGACATGTATGCATCACAACAGAATTAGAACAGAATTATTTGAGCCGGGCTGTGGCCATTAATTTTGCATACCAATCCCTTAAACTACAAATAAAGTGAAAGATGCGATGATAGATTATTTATCTTTGCGCATAATTGTGTTATAGAAATATAATTCTGATATAAGCAGCCAATTGCTTTTATTAAAGGATGAGAGAACTACGTATTTAGGAAGAAAATTTAACTGCCGTTGTGGCCGTCTCACCTTTTCTTTTTAATCTTACAGCGCTGGGACCAGAAACTCCGTCATCCTGTCAAAGGCAGAAGTGAACCTGGACAGAGTGATTCTGCTCCCAAATCTGGGAGAAGCACCAATCCACGACAAAGGCGCAACTGAGATGGAAAATTCCTTGAGGCCAAAACTAATCCATGGACTTGTATAAATTAAAAAGACTTGCCTTCTTGAAGCAGCAAAACAGAAATTGCACTATTGCACGTTGCCTTTTATTGTTTACTATGAGTTCATTCTGTAGCCAATGTTAGTTGTTGTTTTTATTTTCTTCCCTTCTTGTTTTCTTGCCTCTTGTACTGTGCAGGAGTACAAACACTTGGAAAAGAAAGGTATATTACATTCACAAACATCTATCTGTGAATTACATTGACAAACATTTTTCTTTATTTGAATGGCCAAATTGATTTTTATTAGATGCTCATGATAATTGTTTGTATACAGTTACTACAGGCTCGAAAGCCACAAATACTTCCTATATATGCATAAACAAGTTGCCTGAAAGAACATTTAAAAAAAAACTCAGCAAATCCCACAATTCTTTGGTTTTATTGGGGAAGAAACATAATCCAAATTACCCAGTAGTTATAAAGAAGAATGAGATGAATTTGAAGAATATCAGGGCCCCATGTATTAAGAAAAAATAATTTCTTTTCTAATAGAAATAAAGCATCAAAAGGCAAATGAGTTCTAAAAGTTATCTGGCAAATACTAACTATTTTTGCAATTGGCAAGTGGAAAATCGATCAATTTTAAGAATTTGCCCTCCTCTCCTTACTCATATTGATACTCTTTATGGCAAGCATGGATTATGCAAAAAGAGATTATATCAAGAGAATTAGGTCTTTTAGGGTAGGTTTGCTAATAAAATGTCAATTCTGCTTCAGTAAACCACGTACACGAAGCCTTGTTTTAAAACATTAGCCATGACAAAGACTGCATGAAGGACTTACTTTTGAAGGTCTTAATCCTTCTGGGAAAAGTTTTATAGAATTGTTAAATCTTGCCCAAAGATACACCATACTTGCTCTCTGTTAACATTTCTCCCTCCTTTTCAATGTTGCTGCCAAGTCATAGGAATACAAGTGGTCACCCTCTAGCCTCCATCTCATCATAGATCTGGACTTTGTCATTTCAAGGCTGTTCTTTTGATTGTATTTCACTGTCTATATCAGGGGTTTTCAAACTTGGCCCTTTTATGACTTGTGGACTTCAACTCCCAGAATTCCTCAGCCAGGCATGCCTGGTTGAGGAATTCTGGGAGTTGAAGTCCACAAGTCATAAAAGGGCCAAGTTTGAAAACCCCTGGTGTATATGCAACCGGAATGTTTAATGGTCCATGTTGGAGATTTGGATGAACGTTTCTAAGAAAGCTGAAAGGGTGGTCCTTCAGCTATTATTGGACTGAAACTTCCCACCATGTTGACTGTGGACAATGGGAGTCTGAGTCTAACACTGCTGGAGAACCATAGAGTCTTCACCCTTACAAGAGCAACCGTAGGGTCTTCAGCCTTGCAAGTAGCAAATAAAAACATCGACTTTTTTTTACAATCAGTGGACATTTTTAATAGCTTACAATGCATATTTCTATTCAGCAAGTGCCAAGAGATCATCCTAATGATCTTTTAAGTCTTTTGTAGCAGTGCCAATAGTTCAAAGTTGTAATTCTGATCTTTCTCCCTCTGTGGATTGAAATAAAACAATTATTTTAGCAAAAACAAAACGTCATATGTTTCTTTGGCATATAATGGTGTGGTGGTTTCATTCAGAGATTAAATTAAAATGTTATTTAAATTAAACTAGACTGTGACTACATATGTAAGGCTTCAAAATGGTAATGAGGAATCTTTTCTGGGGAGGAAGTGGCATGGAATATTTGACTTTGATAATCATTTTCCATTCCTTTTTTTCTATTTTTTTCTTTTCTTTTTTGTTTTCATCCTTCCTCCAAATTTTTACTTCTCTAATCATTTTTATCTTAATACCCTTTAGTTTAAAACGTGTCTCAAGGGCAGGATGCAACACAGTATTTTTATCTGAAAAAGCTTCCCAAAGCTCTGCCACACTCATTGCATCATGGTTCTGGATGACTAAAAATGAATCAGATACAGATAGTTGCAGATTTTATTTTCAGTAATGATTGACATAGTTTTTCTTGGGTGCGGCTCTAAATGTACTTTATATAAGTGCATGGTTGCCAGTTACTTCTTCAAAAAAAAAAAGGCATAAATGTGCTGTACTTGTGGAGAAATACATTATGTCCAGATAAAATGTTACTGATGGCAATCTCGTGGTCACTGTTCAACCTTGCAGTGCTGCATTCCTTACCTCATTATACAACAAAGTTGCTAGCTCCCTTGTTTCCTGATAGGATGCTTCCCTCATTTTGCCACCTCCATGTTAGCCAATTAGCATGGGGCAACTAGGATCGGGCTCTTTTGAACTAAGGTAATTTGCTCTTTATAGGATGCTGGTGATTGTTCTTAAAGGTGTATTTTAAGAAAGAGCAATGCTGGCCATTCATTCTAGCCATGTCACTTCCTATATTTCGCCTTAGAATGTCCGTCTTGCCAGGTGAGACAGAGAGCAGGTGTAGAGACAGAGAATTGGATGTTTGCCGCTTGCCATTTCTTAGTTGGACTTTTAAAGGGGCAACGCAGCTACCTAGCTCAAGGAATGAATGACACCATTAATCTTGCTCTCTTTTTCTTTTTCACTATAGAATTGGCCAGCCCTTTGGGCCAGTGTTGGCATTTTAAGTTTTGACAGCAAGCATCCTCACAAATTGTTGACATGGTGGGTATGGCCAAATACTCTTTTACTGCAAGACAAATTGGTAGTGTTCCTGCCCACAACCCATTGTAGGCTCTAAGGATGCTCTCTGCAAGTTTCTTATTATTGTTAAATTAAATTTATTTGCTGCCCATCTCACCTTAGGACTTCTCTAGATGGCCTTTAAAAAGGTAAAATTAAGTTTACCTTATTTTCTTTATTTATATTTTCTGTCTACGTGGTTTTCTTGGTAAAAATGCCTTCTCCTGCACAATATAAATGTGACCCTTTGCCATTGTCACTGAAGTTGTCATTTACTTCCAGCATCTTCCTTTATTGCTACTGACCAATGTAGGTTTCTGCTTGCTTTAACTGGGCAGCTGGGATGACCTTCAGGTTTTGGGTGACCCTGCTGGAAATATATTCTCCTGGCGTACATTCCCAGAATTTTTGGCTCATCCCTCCCAGGAACACTCCCACCCGTTCCCCACTATGATGAAGCAGTACAGCAGGCCTTGAGGCAAAAGATGATTTCTAGTGTGGCTAAAAATAAAATCGGCTCATACTGCTAAATTACAAAGAGATACAGAGCGATTGAACAAACTGACACTAATGCTTTGACAAACAATCTGGAATATACATATATGACGTATGCATACTGTTTTGTCATATAGCAAATGCACAAAATGTACGTGGAGTGGGATGAATTGGGTTACGGAGGCAGTTGATTAAATCCATACCTTTCTGCATCTGGGTGTTATTATTTCAGGGAGCAAAATGTGTAATTACATCTTCTCTGGCTAATTAGCAGGATGCTATTACATTGTGAATGATCATTTCCTATAACTATGTATCCTTGAGGGTAAATTGTCATGAGGCCAAAGTCTTTACTCTTCCAATCCCAAAGCATGCCATTAAGCCTGTCTTATTGCAATTCCCCTGCAATTTTTGTTATTTTTGGAACAAATTTATTTTTAAAGCAGAGGCATGTACTGGAGACATGGGCAACTGAACTCAAATCATAGAGCTAGAATGCGATGTTTAGGCTATTAATTCGCACTCTCTGTTCAGTGCAGAAATCCAGATTAAAGCATTCCAAACATTCATTTGACTAACTTCTGCTTGAAGACAACCAATGAAATGGATGCCCCCATATCTCTGGTAAGTGGCTCTACTGTCCAATTGTTATTACTGTTAGGAATCAAAACCTGCCTTATTGTACCTTAAATCCATGATTCTTTGGATTTGGAATAAGAGAAAATGGGTTTTGATCTTCAAGAGCTATTTTGGTCTCTACAATTTCTCCATGCAGGGCTTCCCCACCCAGTTCATGAGCTTCAGTTCCAACCCTAAAAAGTAGCCAAGGACCCATAAAGCAATGCATCTCACAAAGGAGAATTGGAAAGTAAGAGAGAAGAAAGAAGTATGTGCTAGGCATGAGTGGAAAGATGGATATGGGATAAGTATTGTTTATGGGGGGTAGCTTGGCCATTTTGGCTTTGTTGTGCATACTTTTTTTCATGATGCTCATTCACAGTTGGTATGAAGCAGTGGTGGGGTTTAGCCAGTTCACACCATTTTGGCAGAACCAGTAGCTAATTTTTTGTTGCCCAGGCCTAGAATGAACTTCCGGAAGCATCATCCATACAGAGAACTGGTTGTTCACATATTTGAATCCCACCACTGATATGAAGCCTCCAAAGTTAGCAATAATTCTTTTCCAATCAATGCATGTCCACAAAACCCACTAGTTTCATGATGTTGGTCTCCAATATCTTTTGCTTCATTGTATGGATTTGCACCAAAATGTCTTTGCTTTCTCACAAGTCCATCTTGATAAAAATCCCTCTCTTTCTTTTCACACTTTCAACACTGATATTCCTTTATACATTTTTGATGATTTAGCTGGTGTCATATACCATTGGTACATCATTATATCCAAGTTCTCTCTTAAATTACAATCCAAGGTTTCCCACATTTTCTCCCATATATCCACATTTACAATATATTACAATCAAAGTTTATATTCCATTTCATCATATAGTCTTTAACTTGTTCACCTCTTTATTAAACCTTAATAACAATTTGTACATTTTAGTTATTATATGACCATCATTTATATATTTGGTCAGTAGTCTCTTAGGCTTTCCTGCCTTCTTGAGCTTAACCTATACTTCTTCTGCATCTGCTGCTGTCCTAATAACTTCTGGATGCCTTCTCCAAGGTCATTCCCATGGCTCCCCACAGAAAGCAACAGAATATGCTGTTTCCATTTTTAAGTTATATTTCAGATGGAGTGTAAAAATATATATGAAGTCCATTACAAGTGATTTTGTTCAGCATTGAAAGAAATATTTGGACCTCTGAAATTACTTCTGTGGAACAATTCTTTTTTTTTAAAATAAACCTTTTCTTCTTCAACATTATCCTTTACTTAACACATCTTACCTGTACCCTCAAGTTGCTTAATCTTTTTCCTATGACTTTTAAAATATTTTCTTTAATATCTTTATACATTTGTGAAACCTTTCCAGCCTTTGCGTAATTATTTCAGTAGTAGCTTTAACGTTTTGAACATCCCAATAAAACACCCTAAATCTATTAAAAGCTCCAGACCAGAAATTTTCTGTTTCAGGAATATCTAGAAGATCAAGACAATTGCTCTTTGTAACTCATCAGAATAAATTGCACACTTCCATATACGTTCTGAAATACAGCTTGCCACCATGTTTATTTTTTAAGAATGCCTGTGGAGCCAACTGCAGGCAAAGACAGTGCTCAGGTCAAAACTAGCTCTTAGTTTTATAGAAAACCAGCTGCCCATTTTATTTATTTTTAATTTAAAAAGCAATAATAAAAGGCTACACTCTATCGACATATATACTATGTTGATACATTATGTCATCCTAGATCAGTGGTGGCGAACCTATGGCACGCGTGCCAGAGGCGGCACTCAGAGCTCTCTCTGTGGGCACCCGCTCCATGCACCAGAGATGGCAACCGTCCTCTTCAACCAGCCGCCTGCTAACTTGCCAAGGTCCCACATGGCCGGATGCATCCCAGCATTCATGCACTTGCTGATCTCTGTGTGCAGGGGCCGATGGTGCCAGGCCCCTGCCTCACCCTGCAACAATGGCACCCCTGCCTTGCTTCGCCTTGCCTCGCCTCACCCCGCAGGACCAGCCTCCTGCCCACCGCCCCACCCACCAGAGACGCCCTGGATTTCCCCCAACCCTGCCCGGCCCCCACAGGTGTCCCTCCCCAGGAGCAACATCGAGTTGGCCACGCCCACCCATCTGCCATGACCACTATAGCCATGCCTACCCGGCAGGCCACACCCACCCGGTGGCCACGCCCACTCGGCACCCGGCGATACATAAGTGGGTTTTGGGT